TGGCAGTTTCGACAGAATACAGACCACTTCGAATTATTTTATTCGATTATGGTAACGTGCCTATCACGTTGAGGTTAGCTACGCCGGGATTCGTTTCAGCAAGTAGATATCCATATATTTAAATGGACTTTGTTGGAGCATACGTAATCCTACAATGTAGCATCGTACTACAGATGGCGTTTACCGCGCCATTTGTAGTATTTTCTATTGGCGAAGAAGTTCAATTTTAAAAAATTTTGTGGAATAGGTGCAGTAAATCGAATTTAATACGCTTTCTTCTATTTTATTGGTTGCTCTTCTTCATTTTCCGCGCATTTCGTCAGAATTTAGACATAAAAAAAATTCCTTTCCGTTTCCAGCAACACGTACAGCCCAAAAAGGACTAAACTAAGAGGAAATTTCGCATTGGCCTCGTTGTGCACCCTAAAAAGTTTCACCTTAACCGTAACTACTTAATAAAGGTGATTTATTTTTTAGAGGATGTCTTAAAGAACCCGGAAGCGTTGTGGTGCTCCAGGGACGGAACGCACCTGTTATACGCCACATTCAACGACAGCGATGTGGGAACATTAATCTTTCCGTGGTTCTCGACAGGAGCTGTATTAGCAGCAGGAGGAACGAAACAACGAGCTCCCATATTCCCCCCTTCTAGATCTGTTAGATATCCAACGGTAAGGTGCTTATTCCCTATAATTCGTTTCGTTTAAACCGGGAATTCTCCTTCCTGCAATAAGACTATCGAAAACTACGGTAAGGTTCCAGAAAGTTCTTCATCACGGCTAGTAAAACTAAAAGAAGGTGGATATCGATAACAACATAGAATTAATGATCTAATTAAACATTATTGTGAATTAATATTCAACCCTCGTCAAACTTATGAGGTAAAAATTGTTGCTGTTGTTACACTCTGCCGGGAATTGAACCCATTGCTTTTGTTTTTCAGCTGTGAAAAGCATAGAAAACAGTAACCTATAACCGTTTTCACCTGATTTAACTACTACTACTACTACCACCTATTTCCCAAACTAAAAAAAATTTTTAAAGGAGTCATAGAAGTTACAGAGAGCTGCCCAGCAAGAAGAACTTTTTTAAAGACTTAGAGACGCTGCACGAGCTGTCTAAAGTGTTTTGAGTTAAAAGGGGATTATCTTGAGTAATAAAATTAGACAAGGCAAACACATAAAATACTTAAAATTCTGTACCATGCGGACTTGTGCCACGCAGAATGCTGATATATCAAGCGTGATAATAAATACAAATGATGCGAAAAACGCGGCTTTTATATACCGTCTAATGATGTCTGCAATAGGGCATGTTTTATTCATCTGGCAGGTACATCTGTGGATAACACTTTTTCTATCCCTTTATTCTGACGCTTGTACGTAAACAAATCAACTAAACTAATTTTTTTAACTATATCTATTGGATTTTCAAATTCGTAGATACGGGGGCCTTGATGTCATAAGAAACTAATCTAGTATCCAGTATTCTCCTTATTCTTTTCAATTGTAATGTAGGATCAAAGCCCGACCGGGTAAAAGTCTTTTTACTGTAGGTGGTTGTTCTTACAATAAAAGGACTTGTTACTCTATCTGACTTTGATTCTACATAATATATATTTTATTATCATTATAAATGGTAGGTTTTTATTGTAGTGAAGAGTCAAAGTCAAATAGGGTAATAAGTTCTTTTACTATAAAAACAACCACCAACAATAAAAGGACTTATTACCTTATATGGCTTTGATTCTGGTCTACCATAAAAACCTAATACTTGTAATAATTAAAGTATGTCATATACCGGTAATCGGAATTCCTACAATCCGAATTTCCCAGTAATCCGGACGAAAATTAAATTTTATGTTTTTATGCTATCTATGTATTCCATAATTTCGAACGTAACTTGAGACGAATTTTTCGCTTTAGGGAAAGTTCTCGACTGTTTAAAGCATCATTGAGACCGCACAAAACGTTAGTTCCTGCTGAAAAGCATGAGACAGTTCAAAAATTAAAAAGTATGATGTTAATGAGTTCCAAATTATTCAGTTTTTCAGTAATTCGGATTGTAATTTATTCGGATTAGTGAAGCTTTACTAATATAATCAGTTTTTCGCGTAGATACATATTAGCTAACATGAATATAATAAGATACAAACACCGATAATTAAAAATAAACTGAAAAGTTGACATTGATGTATTTTTTCTTTAGTCATCATATCCCTGTACGATTAGCTTCGGCTCCAAAAGTTCAACCGCAGAGGCTTCAGTACGTTCGCTGGATAAGCGACACCAATGCCTTATTAATCTTCTACGAAAACGATATTTACTACAGGGCATCGCCTGTAGACGAAACGGACACTAGACTAACTTTTACGGGACAGCCGGACGTCATTTATAATGGCCTTCCTGACTGGCTCTACCAAGGTAAACATTGATATTAAAAGTTTCTTAATTGAATGAGTTGCAATAAGTGACAGCTCCTAAAAAGATAGGCAAACGAAAAATTGAAAGGCGATAACTTTGAAAATCGTCCAAACCAATGAAATGTATTGGTGAAGGATAAAATAATTCGAAGTGGTCTGTATTCTGTCGAAACTGCCTGACGCGGATCGCGATTTCGATCTTTTTGGATCTCATCAGTGCGTCGCAGACAGCTACGACAGAACACAGACCAACTTTTACCTGCTGTCTTAACAGCGCGTTTTAGAAAATTCTACAAATGGCGCGGTAAACGCCATCTGTAGTACGATGCTACATTTTAGGATTACGTATGCTC